ACAACTATGACATTCGAAAATTGATGCTACACATACAACTCAGATTCATGTTACCAAAATTTAGAGATAATATCATCATATTATAATTTAATTGCAATGAAATATTTATGTCAAGAAATCTATTTTTTGTGTTATTCAATATGGTAATAATAAACTAATTGGATAAGAAAGCTCATCTAAGACCAGGTTATTGATCAATCCTTTAAACTTTAGGTTTAGTGGTGCAAGAATTAGTGTTAGTCTTCAACTAGACATCATTTTTTTCTACTTAGGTCAACAAACAATAGATTTTTATAATCAACCATTGCCATTGGTCAAATCTACCTCAAGCCAGACTACGATAAACTTCACTTTTTATGATTTCTCACTTGATCCTCGAAATTGATTTGTATGTCTTCTGTAACATTAATAGTTTTGATGCATAAATAAACAGATTTTAAATTTTTTTTAAAGTATACCTTCCAATGAAATTGAGATTACTTTTCGACAAATATTTGGCTTTGAAATGATACATCTCATCAGGAATATCATGTTAAACCCGTGTACATTGAACTAAAAATGTAAATCTATTGAATCCAAACATAATTGGAGTATCAGCTTCAGTGGCTTATATATGTTGTCCTACATTGATCATATCAATTTAAATTACTACTCTTCTACTAAACATATAATATTCATGCCGTTCAACTAATCTAACCAAATATATATCATAACTTTTAGTAGACTGCAAGTTTATATTAAAATATCTTCATATTTTGTCCTTAAGTTATCAGTTATCGGTTAGTTGATTTGTTTTGAAGTGTATTATTTTTTGAACTTTTCATTAGTCTAATTTATTTCTACCAATTTGTATGATTAATTTATGTCTTCTCATTTTGATAAAAGAAATTAGATACAAAAGTAGCGGTTGTAGCGGTTGATTCCTGAGTTTGGTCATGTACCCTCACTTTTGAAAAGTCCCATATTAGGTATCCAGTATCTTCTAATTGTCAATGCATCCCTAACAAAATTAGTCCGTTTTACATACTATCTGCAAAATAATATTGTTCTCTAAGTATTATTTTTTTATCGACTTTAAAACGACTACACATATTCTTTGTATCATTCATTTGTTTCTTGATAATATTAACAATAATAGATAATGTAAACAAAGATGGATAGTAGCTAGCAGTGGAATTCAGGATGTGTGTTTCGTCTTATTTGGGACTCATCAGCAAATGTCTCTTATACACTAATGCAAATACCCACTTTAAACATTGTTAACATTGATTGAATGACCTATTCAGTTAGTATACAGTAAACCGGAGAACCATGTACTTATTTATATTCGATAATTTTGATGTTTGATTATATTTCCTTGAAAAAGCTTGGAGCAGACTGTCAGATGTAACGTTGAATTTACTTCAAAATTCATTCATGGAGATTTTACAAATACACTCTTCTTCTTTAATATATTACATTGACTCGGCGCCCAAATACTGTGAAACTATTCGATTAACCAATCAAAGCTATTTACCAATTACTCTATAGATCATTTAAATGTTTAATTCTTGATTGTATATCTAATAATGAGAATAAATTCAACGGTTAATTTTCTTTTTTAATTTCCAAAACTTATTTCTAGATAATGTTTTAACATTCCTTTTTTTTCGTTTTTTTTCTTTTTTTTTATTCTTCCTTTGACTCCTTTCATTGTTTATGGACCATTAGTTTTATTTTGTAATGAACATTATCAAACAACCAAAAATAAAACAACAACTAAACAGATCAAACATTAATTCTCAGTTGATTAGATCTAGAAAAAAAAACTAATAGTAATAATGATGAGGAGTTTGGGGTTATAAATGATCTAATAAGGTTGAAAAACAAAATAACATTCTATGAAGGAAAATGAATCTATTTCAATTATGCATTCATTACATGAAGACGATGATAATTATTAGTACTTCCTAATAACTGTATCATTATCACTGAAGAATGAAAATAATTGTTTTTTATAATGCTCTATATGATATATATATATAGTGAAAAGAGAGGAATCATAAAAATGTATATCCTAGATTTTTATCTAATCTTTAGGTCAATAAAAAAGCACTCTGCAAACTATTTGTTATATAGCTCATTTCCAGGAGATCGTTTGCTACATACATTTGTATATATATATATATATATATATATATATATATACATAATCATTGTTTCTTGGCGCCAACCAGATGAGATATTGTTCATCATTGTAATAAAAATCAATGGCTATAACTAACTTTCAACTGTGTTAATATTAATTACCATCCAACTAAAAAAAAAAAACAAGCAACCACTCAGAGATTAGTTACAGCCCTATAAACTTGTTTACTTATTTGAAATAACTGATCATAAATGTTGTTTGTTTGTTTGTTTGTTTACCTTTTTTTCTTCTTCCAATACCTCAATTATTCCTATTGATAAGATATAAGTAAAAAAAGATTTAAGAATAAATTGTGAATTTTATTTATTTAGTTTCACTTCTTTTTTTCTCCATCTAAATTTAATAGCAACTATTTGAATAGGGGATGATTAATTAGAAAATAAACAATTCAATGTATAACAATTGTATACAAGCTTTTTTTAAAATCTTACCTATCTATATCCCACTGAGTTTTTTGTAATTGCTTATTAAATTTATATAATATAAACTCAATATTTAATTTAGATTGATGAGTTGTGTTATATTGTATTGTGTTATGTTATGCTGTGCTGTGCTGTGTTATGCTGTGCTGTTCTATTTTGTTCTGTGCTGTTCGTTTGTTTGCTTTGTAACTACATTGATTGATTTCAATTTTCTAAAGAACAATATGAGATATAAATGGTAAAGGTTTATGACAAGTGTAACCAGTTTTTTTTTTTCGTTTCAAATTTGTTACGATTATTTACCTCTATATGTGTCTACTTTCATTTAACATTCATAGTTGTTATTTAAAACAAAATACCATCAAATATAGTTCAATTTTGGTCTTAAATTAATAAAGATATAAGTAGTATAATACAAAGATTGTCATTTTATTGTTCAAAAATATAAATAATTATAAAGTCACCATATTGTTAAACTATTTTCTCTTCTTTTCCACTAAGTAAAGTTTTACATTTTATATAAGATTAAGTTTTAAATGAGTCTTTTACTTAATTATCACATCTTTAATTCATTATTATTTGAATGCAAATTTGTGTACGATCCATTGAGATTTGAATTGAATTGAATTAAGGATACTTATTTATTTGTTTATTTATATTTATATATAAATTGCCTTATTGATTAAAAATACAATGATTTCTAATATTGATAAACAATTAATTAAAGCTAGACCACCATGGAAAACCTGGAAGCACTGGATGGCCGTTTCATCCTAGTATGGGACTCCTCAGCAGTGCGCATCCACGATCCCACACCCCACAAGATTCGAACCCAGGTCTGTTGTGAGATATCAACTCACTGATGCCAATGGTGTACGGTGGCGCAGTGGTCTAGTTGGTTAAGCGCCCGGCGCGAGACTGGTGGGTCCTGGGTTCGAGTCTCGCGGGGTGCGCGATCGTGGATGCGCACTGCCGATGAGTCTCATACCAGGACGAAACGGCCGTCCAATGCTTCCAGGTTTCCCATGGTGGCTCATGCTTTCAATCAAAAAAATTTCTAAAATCTACACAAAACCCCTTCTGATAAATAGTCAAAGGTATAAATAATCAATATATTCTTTTTAATATCCGATTGAATAGATAAAAAATGTATTTCTGGTGTGTTTCTTCTTCTTTCTACTCCTTGGGATATCAGAAAAATACATCCATTTATTCTTAAATTTGTTTTTTTTTTGCTACATAACGTTCAATTTATTTGAAACGATCAACTTTCACTTTGATACTGGTTGACATCGTTTAAATGTAATGTCATGTCATTTGGACTAGTTTATCATTATTTCAAAATAAGTCTTTTGAATATGTTACAGAACTTAGATATTATTTAGTGACCTTGTATCTAACTCCAATTGGATTGTATGCTGATTTTCATCGAAATATACATATTAGCTATCCTCGTATATTTCATCGATTTCAATCGCACTGATGAATAAGGAAATTAAAGAAGTCGAATACGAGAATGGATTTTTGAATATATGTATTTTCTATAATCACTGATCTGAACAATAAATCAAAGTGATGAAGCGAGTGAGCCAACTCACTTTAACCATGCTTTACTCAATATTTATAGTTACATAAAAACAAGCTATAGACATGTGATGAGTAAGATAAGAAATACACACAAATACGTTTATATAAAAAGTCACGGTTGATAAGTGAATAATAAACAACGTAACGTCACAACGTAACTCAATAAGAGTGGCTAAATTGACCTATCCAGAAGCTAGAATAAGTTATATAGGCTTAACATAGTAACGGACACTACAACTGTACCATATTGTCCAAAAATATTTCCTAATAATATAAGAGACTTACCAATCTTTGGTTTGGTTGTGTATTTTTTAATTCAGCAATTACTGAACTGAGAAAAATTAATAAGCTCAAAGAAATTTCTGATAATACAGATGATGTATAAATATGAAGATCAGTCGGTCCCTTCAATGTTTTATTTCACTTTTATATTCGGAACTTAGTAAAATAAAGGAGACTGGAAACGTCTGGTTTCAGTTCATCAGGTCATCAAGATTTATAAAACTATCCGAGAAATGTATTTGTTAAAGCAAAATTCGTAAAATTTTAATGTGATTATTTTAGACCTAAATTGACACCTCTTGTTGATAATTTCATTTAACTGTTTAGTGGAGAACTGATGAAGTCGTATTTTGGATTTATAAACATACCTGTTATCATGGTTTTTTTAAGAAAATTAGATAAATACATATTTTACAGATCAATTTCACCTGACTACACTTTCAAAACTTTTGAGAATTATATTCTAAACTACTAATGAGTAACATTGTTAATTCAGATTCAATTCATTCATACATTTTTAGTTCCTCCACGGGCAGTATACGTCCAGTCATATCCCGAAGGTTTGATTGCTGAGTCAAGTCAAAAAATGTTTAGCTGTCAAACAGATAGTATGGGAAGCAATCCTCCAGCAATATTAAAATGGCAACAGCTTGATTCTGCTGGTGCTATTATTTCACTGGAAAGTTTGAAAAAGTCCGTCAATATCGACTTCATCAAGCAAAGTAATGGTGCTGTTGTTACTCGTTCTAATCTAACAGTTCTCGCAACTAGAGTATTGAATGGAAGGCGATTTGAGTGTTCAGTTGTATTCAATGACTCAAAAACACTTCTTCGATCAGAAGGGTTCTTGGAGGTTATGTGTAAGTTTTATGATGATAGATGAAAATGTATTTTTTAAAGATTTTTAGATATTCAGTATTACTCATTTGGAGATAATTCTTTTATCATTCTGAACAAGATTATCAATAATTGATTTCTCTAAAATAAAGAGTGTATATGAGCTCTTTGATGTACGTACTCTTTCATTTTACATGATCACGTACAGTGACTGAACTGTAGTATACAAATGAATGATATTGTTCTGAGAGTAAAAGTATTTTATCAATGTTTTTGTTTTTACTCGTGGATATCTAGGAGTATGACCATAAATAACCGTTCACAATTGCCTAGTATTGGTCATCAGAATCTTAGTTAGTAGGATAAAACGCTTTTTCATACGTTGGAATATCGTTGTCTGCTAAAAATCTGGCACTTGTTGAGATGCAAGTTTGCTTAAAATTGAGAGATAAGATATGCATAGGAGGGTTTAAACAGGACTGTTTTGAATAATTTAAAGGCAGACTAATAACTTTCACCCTTGATGGTAATCTCATTAGATATCATTAATTTTAACCTTACTTAAGAAAGTCTGAAAAACTAATTATTTCTAAAATTCTAAAATCTCAACTTTGCTTTAGTCTTCTAAGAATTAGCAACAGTCACAATTGATTGATCACTGGGTGGTGATCAATCTCATGATTGTCTAGTCCTTATTAGTGCAGATCGAATGCTATCGATCATGTTGCAATGTGGCCACCAGTCTAGGTGACTCGACACTGCGGGCACTATGTATTGAGATTAGATGGTGGTTGGAGGTAGTCAACAGGAAACCCTGACCCGGGTTTCGTGCTACTTGGCACTCGTCAGCAAGGTGTACCTGTAATCTTGAGGGAACTGGTGCTCCGTGGCGGATTCGATCTCGTGTCACCAGCTTCACAGTCAGAGACGTTACCACTGAGCTATTGTGATTACATCTCAGTCCTACAGGAGGTTAGCCACGGCTCGGATAGCTCAGTGGTAACGTCTCTGACTGTGAACCTGGGTGACACGAGATCGAACCGCCACGGAGCACCAGTTCCCTCAAGATTACAGGCACACCTTGCTGACGAGTGCCAAGTAGCACGAAACCGGGTCCAGGGTTTCCTGTTGACTACCTCCAACCACCATCTAATCTCAATTAGCAACAGTAATCAGTTCACTTACCTTGAATTTCTTCATTTTATTTCTGACCACTAGATACACTTCAATGAACTAAGAGAAATAATGAGCTAAAAATGTGATTTAAAAACATGGTCAAACGATACATCCAGCCCATACTGAAATACGTTGTTGATATTTGTCTATGAAAAAAGTTAAACGTATTTATCGTTCTCTACAAACCGCTTAGAACAAACAATAGACATATATTCACTAATAGACTGTTTAATGACTAGTCTGGTCAATTAGGAAAAACATATTGTTGAGACGTCACTTTCAACGAATTATAAAATGAAAATATTTTTATAGGCGTTGTTCGAGATCTGATACTGATACACAACCTGTTACGCGCTAACCTCCCTAACTGTCTACTTGGGCGAGCAGAGAAGAATGGAAGAGAACACATATTGGGCTACCGAATGATATGCATTAATACTTATATATATATAGCCAATGATATGTAGTTATTCTTCAGGTCATTTCTGGTTAGCCTCAAGAGACCTCACTTGCTTACTTAGGATTGGCTCATCATATCAGAAAGCAGTACACAATTTATATATACCATAACGTTTTAATTTCGTTCTTTTTATTTATCAAAACTTGGAAATCTCTAAGTCATATTTTGTAATGAGCAACAATAATTTTGATTTGCATGACTAGATTTATTATAATTATATTGTAAAACTGTAATAAACATTACATACATTCATAAGATACTTATTGCTGATTTTTCTTTTATTCAACAAATAAATAAATAAATTAGTTTCTCCAAATAACATACGATTAACAGCTCAACCGATAAATGGTGTTCCAGAAGCTGGTCGATTAGAATTGACATGTGCTACTAGTTCATGTCATCCACCTGCTGTGATACGTTGGCTTGAAATTTCACCAGATAAAATAAAAGAAAAGAATAAAAATATAGAAGAACATTTACAATATACGAATTTATTTTCAAATGAATTAACTGATCTTGCCCAATTAGAAACTGTAAGTAATTTACAAGTTATTCATTTAGCTAAATATATAAATGGGTTTTGTTTTGGGCATTTTAAAAAGAGAAAAAAGGAAGAGAATATAAATGTATCACATATCCTACCCATAAAATTAACCATTACTTATTCATTAAGAGTTTGAAATGAAACGAACTATAGAATATGAAATCGAATACTTTCAATAGGAAAAAATAAGAAGTAAAATCAAAGCAATTCAATTGACTGATTGAAATATTCACAATTAACATTCCTCATTATCATTATTCGTAATTTCAACATTCATTAACGAACACAGCTAGATTATTTTGTCGGTGTGGGTGTCTTTTTCAAAATGTGATTCATACAGTTCATAAATTATATATCTCTATTGATATTTTCACATTAAATAACTGTTCAACCGAAAAATATGTTCTGTGTATTACAGTTGGAAAATGTTTTTTTTCTCCTCCTCCTCCCCCCACTCTATCTTTTTTCTGTTTCTAATTTTCATTCATGCTCTTAGTTATAGAATAATTATTTCATACAAAAAAGCTACGTTTCTAATTTTGTCTTTTGTTTCGCCTACAAAATTGAAGTACACATCAAGAGATTCTTTTTAATTCAGTAGAAAAAAATAGAATATAAACTAGAATAAGAAATTCAGTTTAACATACATTTTTGTATCAGATGGATTTTTGTGGATATCATAGTAATTTCAATGGTTGAGATCATGAGTCAATTAAATCTAGACCACCATGGAAAACTAGGAAGCACTGGACAACCGTTTCGTCTTATTGTAGGACTCCGAGGCAGTACGCACCCACGACCCCGCCCCACAAGATTCGAACCTAGGACCTATCAGTCTCGCGGGCGAGTGCTTAACCACTAGACCACTGAGCCGGCACTGCCAAGGAGTCCCACACTATGACGAAACGGCCGTCCAGTGTTTCCAGATTTTCCATGATGGTCTAGTTTTAACTGACTCATGATCTCAACTATTAGAATAATTGAAGATTGATTCAATACTTTATTAGAACACTTATTTATTTCTTACTAATTTCATATTCATACATATTATGCATAGATTCAATCGTTATACATATCTGACAATAATGATGAGAGCATTACTATTTTAATAGAAAAGGTTAAATTTTTTCATTATATATATATATATATATATATATATATATATATATATATATATATATATATATATATAATATGCACATTGTTTTGCAAGAATTTCAGAATGTTGATCTTAATACTCACTAATATGTAGTGCATCTTTTGCAGATCAATAAACTGTCCTGGTTCTTAAATGAAAAAAACTTGTTTATTCGTTTGTTTATCTGTATTTTACCTAACAAATCAGTGACACGTTTATCCTTTGTAACAGTCTTATGAACTTGATAGAAACACTCAAGCGTTTCAGTACAGTTCACCGTCCATAAAATGTACATGTGAAAAGGAAAATGAGGGGTAGAATAGCCTTTCTAGATGTTCTACTTACAAGAAGAAAAGACGGGTCACTAAAAAGAAACATAAACAAGAAATCCACTTGGACGGGTCAATATACAAACTTTCTTAGTTTTGCTCCTTTGCAATACAAAAGGAATCTTATTAAGACACTGCATCATAGAACCAAGACCATATGGTCTCTAGATATGGTGAGAGATGAAACGAAGGCATTATACACAACCCTGAAAGAAAATGGATACCTAAGAAATTTATAAATAAAAGCATAGCCAATAAAAGAGAGCATAGAGAATGCCTAACTGTGAATAGAAAGCCTCTGTGTATACACTTACAATTCAGAGGCGATGCCTCGAGTGAAACGCTAAGACCGAAGTAAAGCAAATCAATTCAAAGAACTTTTAATGCAGGTAACTACAACTAATATTTTCCACACACCCAATGATCACGCCGAGGTTGAAAGATAAATTGCCTAGACTAGCGACCACTTTTTGTGTCTATCAATTCAACTGCTACTGTGGAGCAAGTTATATTGGCAGATGTTCTAGGAATTCGAGCTCGTGAGCACCTCTTAGTGTGGTTAAGCAAAGGTGTAGTCAAAACAGTTAACAGCTCCATTTTAACCCATTTAATTCAGAGGGGACATACAGCTAACATGGAGCAATCTTTCGCAATAATATATCGTGTTAAAAGCAGTCTACCTAATTCCGTCAGACAGAGAATCTTGCAGACGGCTGAAGCAATTGCTATTCGGATCAAAAAGCCAGAGCTTTGCATCCAAAAGAAATATGTTCAGGCGCTCCTTTTACCCTGGCCAACTAGCTAATAATCAATCTTATAATGTGGTAACGTAATTTGATTAATGTTCATTTTTATGTCCCAAATTTATCTTATCATTATTATTATCTTTATCATTGTTATTATTATTACACTTGATAACCTTTTTGAGAAATTTATTCAGCATCCACGCCTATCTGCTATATCTGACCTAATTCATATTATTCTACATATTACGTAATTTCCGATTTTTATTCCATTATTTTCTCTCTCACCCCATGTTGATCATATTTATTCTGATCATTTGTCTCATAATTTCATTTCACTTCTAAACTGATTCAAGTTAACACTTTATATTAAACAGCTCCAACATTAACGATCTGGATTCATTTTATATGACAAACAACAATTCTCAATTCACATATTACAATTTCCAAATGATGTACTCTGCCTTAAATCTAGCCAATCTTATGGATTATTAATTTGGATTTATAATTGTAGAACCTGATTAGAAAAGAATATTCTTTGCTTATATTAATTGTGTTTTAATATAATGGGAATTTTTCAGTGATTAAAATTTATTTCATTCTATGAATACTTATATAATTTGTAGAGTAACACAAAACTTGTTCTTTTTAAATGAAATACTACATATAATTGACAGATAATTCCCATTCAACGAAGAGATCTCTTTTCGACAAATTTATTTTGGTAAAGTACTAGTTCACATATATATGTATAATTGTACACCTTGGTGATAAATTCGTTGAAAAGAGATCGGTTCGCTGAATTTTGTGTTTTTAAGAATGTTGAGTTCTTAGTGTTGTGTAAGTTGGCTCTTTGAATCATTACTAAAATTATATTCTTATTGATAATGAATTGATTTTATTTCATTGTATCTTATCAGCTAATGTTATGCTTAATTTTATAATAACTACAATTAGAATTTATGATACAAAATAATAATGATTCAGACCGACTCATATTAATGAAAATCTAGTCATAAAAATGAAAACAGATAAATTTATAAGCAAGGATGGATAGTGGCTAGCAGTGGAATCCATGACGCGCTTTTCGTCAGCTGGATGTGCTTGCATCTCAGAGTTTGTGTGTCACTCTTGGACTCGAACCCAGTATTGTCCACTTCAAACTCTATCGCTTTACCCACTTAGCTATTAAGTTCTGATACCCATTCACTTTTACAATGGGGTGAAGTTTAACTCCACTTGGTATTGTTTACTCGGATCTTCTAATTGATGATTAGAACTGTGATTGTTCAGTCTTTTATTGGCATATGTACATACTGTGTGAACATCAACTCTGAGATGCAGGTATATCCAGATGATGAGTCCCAAATAGGAGGAGTCGGCCGTCCAGTGCTTCCACATGTTCCGTGGTAGTCCAGCTTTAATTGACTCATGATCTCAACTATCAAATTAGTAACGTATCCACAAAAACCCTTTTCTGATAATATTTTTATTAGTTTAATTGGTAATTTAATCTATAATTGTTTTATCATTCAATGAAAGACATAGAATTCTATGTATTTTAATCTATTTAAACAGAATCAAGGAGATTTTGGTGGAACTAAAGTTTTAAGCACTTTAATCATAACCAAAACTTATCGATCTCATCAAAATACAATTTATCAATGTCTAGTTAATCATACTGGAATGAATAAACCTGTTCTGAGTGAGCACAGATTACAAATCTTATGTAAGTTATATTTGAAATTGTATTTATCATAAATTAGTACATTTCTGGTGAAATTCCTTGTTAGTTTGGATTGACTTTACAGTTTAATTGTTATAGTGAATTCCAATGATTTTTCATCTCGTAATATTAGATAATAACCATCGGTAAAATAAACATTCAGCACTACTAATATTCGTTTAAGTTTATTTAGTTTAGTGATTTCATATTTAAAGTTGAAAGCTCCTTTTAAGGAATACCATGTTCTCGATTCTTTGTAACCTATTTAGTTTAAATATGAGTGTCGTTTCCATCAAATTAACTTCTAAAGTGGAATATCCACCTTCACTTTGAAATATACCTATATAGGATTGCAAAATATTTTTAGTGCACGTGGTTCATTAATTTGTTCATAATATGTATAATTTATTCTTGCTAGATCCCCAACAATTCATATCATCAGTCTTCCAAATCAGCCAATTGCAAGACAATCTGTTACGTTATTCTGTCAAGCTATTGGAGGAAATCCTTCAAATGACTTGACATACGCATGGTTTGTAGCTAAATCAACTCAGTTTTCTAGCCTTTTAAAACAAGATGACGACACTCAATTAAATGATGATCCATATGACCAAGATACAGATAATTCACTGAATCTGTCAAGCATGAAAAATCATTTTATATCTTCACCTCTTGTAACACAAAGGCCAGAATTTGACAGTATGATTCAACTAAGTGGATATCATGATTCACAATTAAATTTAACCAATATTAAATTGTCTCAAGCTGGTTGGTATGGTTGTGAAGTATCTGGAATCGGTGGGAGTTCCCATGCATTATATCATCTTGATTTATATTGTAAGTTTTCTTTTTCAAAATTAAACAATTTGTTATTATTTTGTTATAACTTGTGACTGCCAATTAGAGGGTAGTGACTTATCGATCGAACCAAAGACGCGTAAAACACGTCTTGATTGGCCCTGCTTTCCGCCTAGCCCAGCCAGCTAAGTCCAGAACACCAATCTGAGCCTCTGTGGTATGAATCATTATATTTCAAACATACTGAGCTTATATACCAATCAAGCAGACCACAACTTACCAATAAAATATGAAACAACATTTGTACAAGAATTAGCCAGATGTGGTTGTGAATGAGGGAGGTAGTAATTAATATACTGGGTATAACTGAAGAATGGCAAAACGTATAATAATAGTTTATGGGTCAAAATAAAGCTTATAATAGGAGGAATATGAATATGCATAGTTTATTTACTTAATGATTATACAATATAAATATACGTTTAGTATTGGTCTATCAATAGATCCCAAAAGTTACCATTCATTATTCTTGTCGGGACATAACATATTCATCTTGAAGTTTCTTGGTTGGGAAGAACATGATTTTCGATAAATTTTATCCTTCGTCTATACATAATTAAAACATTTTCTAATTTTCCAAGTTCAATTTTTAATGCTGAAACTAGTTCAATTAAGGATCCAGTAACCGATTATTCAAAGTTTCACAGAATACAATATAAATATATCAAGTTTGTTTATTTAAGATGTTAAATTATGTACGTTTCCAAAAAATAACAATTCACATGATACTATACAAACAAATCAAATTGTTTTTCAAATGGGACACTAATCAATATAAAATTGCATGCATATGCATTGCACTTACTCATTTATGAATGTATTTTATGCTATGATGAATGTGCCAGCAGAAATGTGTATATGTTTTGAAGCGAACTCAAAGTACTAGTTGTTCGATATTCTCTTAAAACTGCTATTCTAATAACCAACAAACACAGACAGTTGATTGAAGTTAGACATTAACACCACTGGATCCGACTTAGTGGTCTAGGAGTTAAGCATTCACACAAAACCAAAGGTCCTAAGTTCGAATCCCTAGTGCCAAGTTGTGGATGCGCACTGTTGAGGATTCCCATTCTAGGACTAAATATCCATTTAATGCTTCAAGGTTTTTGATGATGGTCTAGCAGTGATCGGTCCATGATTTCAATGAAACTATCAAACGGTTTACTTATGTGTATAACGTTTCTGAGCAATGGACAGGATTTATAGCTTGAATGAATAACTTTGATAAAGTTATATTTCCTCTATTGAATAGTATGATTACGAAACCTTCATTTATGTTCCGGATATTTAAGTCTGATACTGTTGTCTATAATAACAATGAATACTGTCTAAGTAAACTATGTAAAATGAAACTGTTGGGGACGTTAAATCCCCAGAACTCACTTGGGAAAGGACCTAATTTTGTAATTTTATTTAGAAAATTTGAATTTCTTTGTTTTCGCGCCAAAGGCCCTCTTGTCACCGTCATGTCGTATTTCCCACTGGGAAGTATCTTAAATGCTATTGGTCCGTTGCGCCTTTTAGTATGCTATTTGGTAACTTTCCCCAAGGACGGTTTTGTACTGTATATATACGTTTTGAATTGTGTTTGTTGTTATCGCTCGTTTCTGACTGTTTGCGGAATATACTTACCCATTCCAAGCTTGGACTTCTCCTTCTAGTTAGCGGGACTGGGACGCATCAATAGCTAGCTTACTGGTCTTTGGTCGCCGAGTCTTTTTTCTCGTTCGCAGATTAAGTGAACTCGTGATAGCTTCAACCCTAGCAGAAACAGCCTAAACCTTCGTTTTAAAATATTACCTTTACCGACAAATGTTAAGCAATGATAATGCAAAAGTTTATAGCACACTTTTTAAAATGATTTCACTTATGCTGTTTCTCAGATGTAATGTAGCTTTCACCTACGGTGATTTTAAGGTTTTCACATCCATACCTTTTTATTATTTATGAAGCCTTATAACTGAGAATTCTGGAATTTTCTATATTTGTAGTTGTCCTGTGAATCGCGATATGGCATCAAAAGAATTTTTCATATTCTATATGCTTTATAGTGTTCTCAAGAAAGTTTCATATGCATTTCTCTTCGTCTATATGCAAAATAGTCGCAAAACACTGCCTATAAAATTAGACGACATAAGTAGGCTGCAAGTGATCGATCATAAGGGCTTATTATGTAATATATTTGAGATAAGTCTTAATTCTTCGTAAATCACTCTGCCTGATAACCACTACTAGATAAACATTAATAGTATATAAATTTCAGAAAACAATACAAAAACTTTACAATTTATTGTTGTACAGCGTAGATCACAAAACCACAAGCATACAAAGCGATTACAAGCAGTAATGCTAATGACAGTGAATGAGAGCGAGGGAATAAAGAGATGGATGGATTGATGAGATTTAAGACGCATATGTATATGGAAAAGCATAAAGCGTCATCAAGCAATTTAGGCTAGTAAGAGGGATATGTGTATAGTCTGTAACAGGTGATCAAGCTTACATACTCATACAGACATAATAATAATAATTCAAAGACGTAGACAAATTATTACTGTTCGAATGACACTGTTGAAAAACTTAATTGAAGGGTTCGATAAAATTAGACTCAAGTGTAGATGAGGTGTTATATACCTTCAAAGTATCGCAAATTAAGGAAAAACTACCGAGTGAGCAATACTAAGGTACTAGGTAAAAAGGGTAATTCCACTGATGGGGCCATAAATCCCGATAAGCTAGGGTAATTGCAAGACAAGATATGTATTTCTTACCTCTTATTACCCCAACATTTACTTTTGGCTGACAATGAAGTGCTTTGAAAATAATTTAGAAATGAGCAAGCCATAAGTGGTATTAGCCCATGAAGCTATTCGCTGTTGCTCTGGACCGCATTGGAATGTTTAGGTTTCATAGTTAGAGCGCATCAATCATAAATTGAATTGCCTGCCCTATTGATAAGTTATGGGAGTATAATAAGATCAAAAAGTGTAGAATTTGACGAGAAAAACTTACTGTACAGATGCTATAAAAATAGTGTACATATTTAGTACGTTTACTCCAAGGGCTTACCACTCAACAATACACAATATATATGGAAAATCACTTTAAATGATTTCAAACCATTTTAAATAAGATACGCGACTGAATATAAGTTTCAATCAAAATGTATTTACTTATGTATTTTATATTGAGTTTGGTTTTTCACTATAGTTCTACCATGAATCGAAACTTTTCAGCGCTCAGAACACTAACATTTTATTCTCTGTCTAGTGCCTAGTCACCATAATTTTCTTTTCATCACTTTACATTACATTTTCTCCCGATCTCATCACCATTCACTGATTAATTGTGTTTATGTTTATCACTGATAGTTCGATTCGGATGTTGTAACAATATGATCAATATAAATTTTTATCTGAGATAATAATGGATAAATTTTCAATTTTTATATGTCTGATATATATTTTAAAATATCTCTTCAAATATTTTAGATCAGCCCGTGATGAATAGACGTACACAAACCCATGTTATGGCACAACTAGGTGAATCTGTAACTTTAGTTCTATATGTAGATGCCAATCCACCTTGGGCAGAAGCTGAATGGTTTCAAATAGAAACTTTTAAGAATGAAGCTGAAAAAATTCACAATTCTCAACAATATGTTGAACCTCAAGCTTATTTTGAACCGCAACAAATAAATTATGGTTATCCACAATCGTATAATTCATGGCCTCGTGTTAAAAGAACAGTATTTCATCGTTTTCAGTCACATTTGTCAACATCAGATTTTCCTGGAGAACAAAATTTACGTCAGTCTATTGGGCAGAGAAAAAATATTTTTGCTTCCAGTGGTACTGGCCTCTATGGTAACCTTACGTTCTTCCTCAGGTTCACAGAAGTTAAATCTGTTGATTTCGGTACATACATTTGTCAAGTTCGTCATCAATTAGGTGTGAAAGAATTCACATTTCACTTGATAAAAAAGGCGGGTAAGTGCTATGTTTAAAAATCATTGAAACAGTTTAACTTTCTACTACTTTAATAACTTTGATTAAAAAATTCTAATTTGTCTATAATTCTGACAATCATAAAAAGAGCTTGATCGAAATCTAAACTTTTGTTTTCAGGAAATGTCTCTCCGATCAAAGTTACGAAGATGTATCTTTTTCAACTTCGCTATCATATTTAGGTCGTTAAGCGGTAGCAGACCTGAAAGCATGGTAATTTTCCCTTTCGCATTAAATACTTAGACAGAAAAAAATATGTAAGACTAAATGAAACATTTAATATCTGTCCATCTGGTTTTCACTGACAAGTCAACTAAAATCAATAAATTCACTTGGTATTGTTTGCTTGTATCTTTCCATTGTTGTTTAGGACTGAAATTGATCATTCTCTTTTCGGCATATGTGAAAATCAGGTACATCCAGCTGACGAGTCCCAAATAGGACGAAACGCGCATCCTGAATTCTACTGCTAGCCACCATCCATCTTTGCTTATAAAATCAATAAGAACGTTATGACTAAAATATCGTTAATAAACCATGTAATTACACATCTTAAAACAGTACAAGAAAGGTAACTAAAAATACTGATAGAAGAAAATGTAAATGCCAAATTGCACAAGTTTTTAGATTTTTGTCTAATCTGATGTAAATCGCTCACCAGGAAAGATTTAAACTGATACTCAGACTACTTTAAACGTTGATTATCAAAATCATCTAAAATTTTATACGCAGCAGGTAGCACTCTGTTCGTTAATTTTATTAATCACCATTACAGGATGTAATCTTTAACACAAATTCGTTAGTGACATGGGATGCATAACTGGTAAGATGTCACTCATATTGATTGAAAAACATTACATATCATAACACAATGAATAGAGTTATCTTTTGTAATAGAGTTGTTCCATAATTTTTTATCTAATAGGCAATATACTACTTTGTTTCAACTGAAAAGTCATCTTTGTATAGCTGAGGAAATTTCAGTCAGCCATAACAATTGGCCAAAAGATATCTTTAGTGAAATTTATCTGAAATCCACTAGAACTAAGTAATACTTACGATGATATATGTTGATCAGCTATTTTTCAATAAAAATGGAGTTTTACTTTTTTATAACTGTTATGAAATAAACTCAGAAATCTTGCCTTCCTTATCTGTATAGGGGATGGAGTTATAACAGAAGAATCTATTGAAGTTATTCATCATGGATCAACCACAAGTATTTTATTTAGTCCTCCATTGAAATCTTCCCTTATGAAACTTATCCTTCGAGTTTGCCGACGTGATGCTTTGTTAGGTAATCATAAACAAACAGATAAGCAGTCTGTAATTAAGCAGCATTTCAAACGGGATATTCCACATCAAAAAGTATCAATTACCTCAAGAAATGTTTCAAAACAAAATGATATTACAAATCGATTGGATAGTTCACAGATTTTGGTTAATTCCAGAACTGTTGGTTGTGAAGATTATCAGGTTGCCAAACCTTGGTTAGGAAAGATGGAAATACATTTATCCGATGCAGTTCAGTTGTATAATTTTCGATTTCTTTTATTTCAAGGTACGAAACTTCTACAAGAAACATCTCCTGTATTATGGCAACCAGGTATGTTGCATAACATCTATGAACATCTAATACAGAATCTATTATGTAAGGACGATTAATTAGATAGGAAATGATAAATTCAACAGCACACTTTTTGACTCATCAACTTAGTTGACAAGCAATCTCCTCCTCCTTTTGGAATAAAAGTGTTTAGGGTTTAAAATGTTTTTCACAACCAGATGCTGGTTACCATGTGTCACACAATCCATCAGTCAGATGGCTTGCTAATAAGATCAAATAATTGAGTATTTCTAGGTCACTTTGTTAATCATGTTGTTTATCCGACCTGATTACTAGTGATCATATAAATAACAAAATTTAGACTTGATGCAGAAAGTTATACCTGACTTTCTAAAATTGAAAACTTAGTACATGGGATCAACTGGTTGTAAATACTTTTCAAGAAGGCGTAGTTTTTGATTAATACGAAAGGTAAATAAATAAAAATTTATAGTCGAATTATTTATGGTGAACATTTTCTGAGCTGATGGTCAACACAACATACAGGCCTTTAGTAACCAGTAAGCTTGTTAGAAGTTACTTTAATCAAACGCCCATTAGAAATCCAACTTAAAACAGAGAGTATTAACACGTGATCATTTTCGATCTTGAATATATGTACAATGTAGGGAACAGTCGTATTGTAAAGTGATCTACTAATACAAATGAACGTAACGTTTCGATGGTTTAAGACTTATTCATGAAGAAACATGAAATGACTCATTTAGATTTAGAAAGAAATCTGACTCACAAAAGGGATACTTCTCTTCAGAATCAAATAGCTACTCAAAAACTAAGCAAGACACTCAACAACAAAAAAAGCAATCGAAGACAGCGGAACCTACAAAAAATACCAATAATGTACAAGAACATCATAAGGAATTGGGTTTGTGAAATGATATCTAATGTTTTCTAGAAGTGACAATAAACCATTCACCTCAAAAAGCATTCACCTGAACTACAAATTTTCACTATCATTTCATTACTCAATAACTTCAGTTTTACCATCTGTTAGCAGTTCATTATCAAACGTTGTACACTTTATTTTCAGATAAGTATTTTAAATTGTGACATTCCTCAAACTCTAACAAACTAATGTTATATTGTTATTTTCCCGTCAATTTTAGAAATATCTAAAACGCATGGTGTATTCAATAAATCCTTGTTAGCATTAGCTGTAACCGGTGGTTGTGCACTAGTAATTGTATTTCTTATCACAATAATTATAATCTATTCATGCTATGGACGAAATAAACATGGTAAGCTTTTTTTCATAATGAAATGCTACAGATTACTTTATCAAAAAAGTAATTACATCACTCATTCAAGCAACTATTGTTGTCATCTCATAATGACAATATTATTTTACCCAAATTCATTCATTATTATAATTATAACATTAAGAGACTACTCTTGGCTTTCTTTTCAATTTAAGATCTTATCTCTATGAACTTGAAATTATTTTATAATGATTACAAATGACCATAAAGTCATTAAACAGAACTTCATTTTTGGATGCAGTTCAATTTTAATCATACATTTTGCTGTAATTTCAAAGATAAAATGAATGGTAAAACCAATCAGTGTAATCAAGATAATTATATCAAACATCCACAATATATAAATATTAGGGAAACAATGAAATGCATAGTGTTTAGGTTATCACCTCTATTACAAAACATTCATGAAACCGTTCGATGTTTTCCTGAGCAAAATAATTAGCATATAATCAAAGAAGTTCTAGATTAATTTCATAATTAAACAATCATAAAACGTTTGCAAAATAATATATTTAATACAGGGTTTGATAATGGCTGGTAATAAATTAGACTAACAAATAAAGAACTAAGTGAAACTATGGATACTTGATATAAAAAATATCCGTACGCATAATAATAATAATAAAATTGAATAAGATGTAAAGGTAAGGATTGGCAAAGTAAGAACAGCATTCCTACAGTTTAAGAACATATGGAACTCAAAACAACTGTCAATCAACATCAAAGTCAAAATCTTCAATACAAATATCAAGACAGTTCTACTGTAAGCAGCTGAAACTTGGAGAACTACCATAACCATTATCAAAATGGTACAATTGTCTACTCAAGATACTGAGTGTCTGTTAACCGGATACCATCAGCAACAGCCTATTGTGGGGGAGAGTAAATCCGTTTCTAACTGAGGTGGAAATTAGGGAAAAGACTTTGTCAGTGGATTGGACATACATTGCAAAAATCACCAAACTGTATCACAAAGCAAGCTCTAACTTAGAAACCTGAATAAAAAAGAAAAAGAGACATACGAGGGAACACATTGCGTTGCGAATTAGAAGCCGACATGAATAGGATGGATAGCAAATAGAAAGGATTGCTCAGCACAGAGTTAGTTGGTGAATACTAGTAAGTGGCCAATGCTGCTTTGCGAAGAGTGACAGGCGTGAGTTTTCAAATAATACATAAGCTCAGTAAAACAGGCATAATTTTATTATTAATCGCCTTAGAAAAAGCGAGTGTTCCACTTGAAAAGCTTAATATGCATCTAATCGCTGGTAAAAACAAACTTGGATTATTTATATTTGCCTTAAGCTCTTATCATTAAAAACGTTGAAGCATAAAACTGGAAAATATATCGCCTATTTCATTTCATCTCATTTACTTGATATCAATGACTAGCCATCTAGCCTAATTTCAGTAAAACGTTGTTATATTCTAAAGGAGCTAAACAGGTCTTTGCCACCCTAACTTTCATTGTCCTGTAAAATCTTACTACTAAATTACATTGAGAATTAGTTACCACTCACACTAATTGAAACGGTGTTACTTAAACTGTTTGAATTTGTATAACTAACTCATTAACTACATGTTATTTGTTTAAATTATAGATCAGATGATAAGTAGTTGCAAACATTATTTCGTTCTATCCCCATTTGATAGATGAAAAACACGATTTTTAAACATTCCACTTCAGGTAAAATAAATGACCAAAATTAAAACACAAAATCAAAGTGAAGAAACCATACTATTATTTGTTAGATAGAACTAATTAGAGAAATCTAAAAAAAAGGTTATTATCATATTGAGATTACCGTAAATATATATGAGCTAATCTACAACTATCCAATCAGCTCTGATACGGATAAAATTTACATTACGAATACTTCCATAGTTCATAACTAAAAAAAGTTAATCAACTTCTGATAACCTATTATCGTCAATTTAGGGTTATGGAGATTAATGAGTTTTGATTGAGTTCATGAATCGATCAATGTTAGACCATCATGCTTCCAGGTTTTTAATAGTAGTCTAATATTGATCGATTCATGATCTCAATCAAAGCTCTTTAACATTTATATTCTTTATTAGTACATAAACCTTTTATTAATCTATCCACATATATTTACTTGAAATAATTTTTTTTCTTCCATTGATTTTGTTCACATATCAAAATCAAATAGAATCGTGATTATATTGTAGTGAAGGGGAACACAGGTGAGGACAACCGAATTATTTAGAGCACAACATTAAAGAGTTACTTGGTAAAATAGAAAAACCATGCTATATAATACCTAATCTGAAAAATGTCCAGTAATCGTCTCGGACCTCATTGTTCTTGCATTTCTATACAAATTGCTTTCTATTCCCGTTTTTCCTTTCTTAATCTTCCCATTTTCCGCTGCCAGACATTACATTCCTGACTCGCGTTATATACTACTTATGTCAATATAAGTAGCACGCACCACAATATGTCTCATGATTTTGGCTAACCACTGGATATAATAGATTCCATTATTTCCATTTGATAAATTATATACAGTTTACAATGCATTCACAATTGATAATAGTTCATTCAATTTCATACTTTAATTTATAGCTGATAAGGTATTGAATAAACATACTCAATCACTGATAATATCAATAACATCTTAGTTAAATCTAGTTCACATTTAAGCTTCACTAATCATCATCATTATCATCATCAATTAAATTGCAATATAATATCTTTATTTTCCTCCTACAGGTTTATTGAAATTTTGGAATATAAAAAAGTAAGTAATTATTAATAGAAATAAACAACTTATTTATTGAGTCAATTTATATTATTCTTCCATGATGTAAGTGTATATTCATATGAGTAAAAGTACTTTACATCATTATTTATGATGTCATTCCAATAGTTGAAATCATGAGTCAATTGAAGCTAACCCACTATGGAAAACCTGGAAGCACTGAACGGCCGTTTCGTCCTGGTATGGGACTCTTCAGCAATAGTTAGAAATTGTTTATAGTTTGATATCATTTACGAAATGTAATACAATATTCTTAGAGATTAAAACTTAAAATTATTGTAGTGATAGAGAATACATATGAGGAAAATTGAATGTATTTCAACATAAAATTACAGAATCTCTTAGTAAAATCTGCGAACTATATAGTAAATAGTTCATTTGCAAAATGTCAATCAAGTGTCTCAAACTTGACTGTTTCTTTTGCAATCATTAGTCAATCGTCTTTGACTTTATCGTTCTTTCGTTTCCACACGAATAATTCTTTGTTTTCGTTCTCTTTTCTTCGATCTTCTTAACCTTCTGACTCCAGACATTTCACTTTTGATTGATGATAGATACTACTATATATCTGTCGACGTCAGTAGCACACACTACACTACTATACGTGGCGGAAGTTCTTAACTATCTACACTTTTAAGCAAGAAAATAGTTTTTTAAATTCACCACTTTACTAGAGTTCTTCATTTTTATCATCTCTTGTTCTTTTGTTTACAAAAGTAGACGCGCTGAATTAATCATTTTATAATCGTAATATAATTCTAATTCTATAATATTTAATGTAAAACCAAAAATTCGTAAATCTTATCTTAAACTTTTATGCGATATGTACCGCCATAATTAAAAATTAATTTTTAGTGGCCTGAGATCTGACTTCAGGTAGATCGTTTGCTGCTTGCTATTGAAATATACATGTCACCAATCCTCGTATATTATCATCGACTTAAATCGCGTTGGTGAATAAGGGAATTAAGTCAAATACGAGAATGAATTTCTGAATACGTATATTTCATACAATCGTTGATTCGGACAGGCGATCAAAGAAACGAAGCAAAGAGGAGATAACTAAGTTATGCGCTTTCCGATCGACGATTGTACGAAACATATGTATTCAAAAATCCATTCACGTACTTGACTTATTTAATTCATAACAGAAGGGGTTCTGTAGATATTATAGTAATGTTAATAGTTGAGATCATGAGTCAATGGAAGCTGGACCACCATGGAAAACCTAGAAGAACTGAACGGCCGTTTCGTCCTATTGCGAGACTCTTCAGCAGTGCGCATCCACGATCCCGCCTCGCGAGATTTGAACCCAGGACCTATCAGTCTCACGCGCGGGTGCTTAACCTCTAGACCACTAAGCCGAGATCCAATTCAGTTATTCACCAAAACGGCTTAAGTCGGTGGTAATATACGAGAATTGGCAAAATGTATGTTTCGACAGCAATCATTCGATTACGATCATTCATCCAATCAACTTGAAGTCAGATCTCGGACCATTAAAACTTAGTATGTCAAAAAATACCAACAATGTTACGGCACATAACTGGTAAAATAGGCAATTTTAATTTATAAAATAAATGTTTTTGCTTAAACTAACATTTTGTTAAGCACTATTGCCTATCTTGTTTTTTTGTTTTATAACAATTAAGTTCGTATTGTGAAGTAAACCGAGTTCTCTGGAATAAATATTAGTTCTTTCAAGATCCAATGTAGTGAAAGAATTTCCCAGATACCAGCTCTTCTCAAAAGGTTTATTTTTTTAATGGTTGGATTCATGAGTCAATTGAAGCTGGACCACCATGGAAAATCTGGAAGCACTAGATGACCGTTTCGTCCTAATGTGAGACTTCTCCACAGTGTGCATACACGATCCCTCCTCGCGAGATTCAAACTTCGTATTTAAACGAAATTAGTAAACAAGATATATTAGAATACATATTGTAATAGTCCCTGTAGTATTGTATAGAAAGCTAGGAAGAATCAATTTTTCATTTTTAAACAGATATAAAGAGGGTGATGAGCTATGAAATATTATGATTTCTGTGATGATAATAATAATAATGTGTTAAATATTAAATACCTTAAAGTTTATGAAACTTGAATATTCTTGGTTTTCTCATAAGCTTTTTGAATTAGCTAATAGAAATTAACTTTCCTGTCGCTATTTTTATGAATCTATAGAAGTCTGAAATCAAGTACTTCGCAACAGTCGAGCAAAAAACTAGATGTTCCAAATCATATAGGATGTGAATTAGGTTTTGAACTTCACAGTGATCTTGGATCTGTGCGTAGATATCAACCAGGTTAGTGAAATATTAATAAATTAATCATTTACAGTTTATTAATTCTTCAGTACTTATTTCATCTTAGTGATAACGTAGAACATTATTCAAGCAAATAAAAGCGGTATATAGTCGTTGCAAATATCCGATGGGTTTTACTTAATTTTAGATTAAAAAGGGTATCAATCACTGTATTTCAGTATACTACTGGTTAGCGTTTTTTTAGCAAGGTTTTTTTCCTAAGATAAAGGGTTGCCGACCTCATGCTCAACCCTTCTCCTTTACGCAAGCTTGGGCACGGCAGTAACTCTAGAAGGGCTACAGGCATTTTTCAATTTTACCGATACTATTGCTATAAAATTACAACGAGATAATTTATTACCATTCATTTTTATATGATAACTACAGACAACCTTCAATCATTGATATTACTTACTGACTTCAAAACTTGTTCATTAAACGTTATTTATGTTAAGTATGAGGTTAACGAAATAAACAATTGTATCTAAGTAGAATTACAAAATATCAAGAAAGCAAATTATTTCATCAGAAAAGACACTTTAAAGAGCTAATCTAAAAATCATAATGTTAAGGAGGTTAAAAGATGTAATTAAGAGAAAATATTCAACTGCCGAAAGACCAATGTAATGAAAGTATTAGAAGAATTAATTGATTCAAAAGTCTAGTCAAGACTCAGACAACAGATTATCTCACAATTTGAAAACACTGAAATCTCTAGTAAATAAGTCTATGGCAAATAATTATATTCAGGCTAATGTAATTAGACAACTCAAGCAGTTGAACAACAACGTGATTATGTAAATTACTAATAAAAAACATCTTTTGGATTTAATACGTCTCAACTTCAACAAACATACCATCTCTCAGGTACAGTCATGAAAATCTATTCTAGTTATACTACCAAAAACTTTTTGAATCTTACAGACACAGTCAAGAAAGTCACATTTTATTCACATTTCCTTTACAGTCTTTTAAAGGATATTCAGTCTCTCGTTTTTAACCTGTGTAATAAAAAGATATTTTCAAAAATTAATGAATGAATGCATTCCTAAAATTCTTTTGAAATCTAGTTCTGATTCCTTAAAGGTCTCATATACAAATTAATGTCACTGGTTTGTTGGCTTTTATGAAAACGATTAGACGATTGCTTTAGTAGATATCATCTTAAAAAGTATTCCTTGTTAATCAGTGCCGACAATTCCCAACCATCTTACATCAAAACACAGTGCATCCCCGCTGCCTTCTCTCGGCTCCACTACTTTGTGGATTAGACCTCTAGGTTAAAGATTCGGAGAGTGGCCCCCTAAGTAAACCATCTGCTTCGGTTTGAGCGACCGGGCAGTATTCCAGCCCTCATACAAATCGTATGACGAAGTGTGAAGCATATATATATATATATATATATATATATATATATATATATATATAGTGCCTCTTTGTACCAATGTTTATGTGTTTAAATAAATAAATAAAATGGTCACTTAGCCTAGTGATCACATGACAACCTAATCATCTGAATTTCATAAAAGCAAAGGATTAAATAAATGTGATCAATCGATGGTGTCGGAATTCGGCAAGCACTTCTCATCTAATGATCTATCACAGATAACAAAAGGTATCATCTACATATATGATTCACTTCTTCTGTTGGTTAATCGCAAAAGGATAGCAATTATTTTTCAAATAGGTACTCTTGAAATTAATTTATAAATAAGTGATCCCATTGAAATTTCATAATCTCAAGTACTTTGTAATATTCAAATCAATGAACCCTGGTAAACTTCAATATTGAAACTACCATTTTTCCAAAAGACTTATGTTACTGGTAGGGAAAATAGATATTGCCTCCTTTCGTGGTTTTGGTTCAGTAAATTAGACTGTGAAAACAGTAATGAACACAGAGTGGTCTTAGTCAATATTATGATAATTACTTTGTATTGTACTGACATTAAAGACCATTTGTAAAATCACATGGAAAGACGTAAAGTGTTATTTAAAATGTAATAATTAAAAATAATATTTTCATTGTAATCAATAATCCATTCAGCTACTTTACCTCTAATACGTACAGAAAACTATGAGGTACTTAAATAATTTAAATTAATACGCATGTAATCACCTCAGTGACACTTTAGGTAAAGCATAGTGGTGCACCAATCAGGTATCTGAATGTGGTTTTATGGTTATGGTATGTAGTTCAGATAGTCTTACAGACAACTGATTGAATACTTTTCAATTTGACCATAATATAACCATAATGCATCGGAAAACCACTCTCTGTGATTATGGTGGGAAAATAAGCGTAATGGGACGTTTAGGCAATCATGATAAAGTTTTATTTCCATAATACCCATATTGTCCCAAGAAGTCTAAAAGGTATGATTTGCTCTTCACTTATCATAAATAAAATCATACACAACGAATGCTTCTAGTTACGAGTCGCATCATACAAACCTTTAAATAATTAGCTTCCCCGCTTATGTAAGCGAAATCAATACTGCAGAGACTTTTCCATAGATATTATGGTGAACATAGAACTACTTCTGGGTGAGGTAGGATTGCATGGACTGATGAGGTACAGTCATTAGAATCAGAAATAAGTTACTCTGCAGCACATTTTTCCATTTCAAATAGTGAAAACTTTTAATTAACCTTAAAAATTTCTATCATGTAAAGACATTAAATACTTCTTGAGTTTTACTTATCTCCGATGATGTTAGGATATTCGGGAAAATATACCAATAATTATCATGTTAAGTCTAATGGTGTCCTTGGACTTTAAATGGACACTCCCTATTTGTCAGTATTTATTTCACTTGTTAAATATTGTACAAATGTTGTTTTCTATTTTATGGTACGATGTGGTTTGTCTGATTGATATATAAACAGAGTATGTCTGAAATATAATGATTCATATCTCAGAGGTTGGGACTTGTGTTCTGGACTCAACTGGCTGGGCTAGACAGCGAAGCAGGGCCAATCGGGACTCTAGGTCGTTCGTACGTGATTCTTTCGTTGCTTGATCCCTATTTATTTAAAAATGGTTTGAAATTTCTCAAGATCCTTTTAAGAGTCGACCAATATCGTCTCCATACTCTAATTCTACCATAATTTTGAGAATTTTTTATTTATTTCAAACACAAAAATACTGGTACAAAGGGGCATTAAATACATATACGCCACGCAATAACAATGAGGTTGTGAAGAGATAGAGAATATAAAGTAAGTATAAGAAAAAGGAGAACAACAACAAACAGAAATTAATGTATGAGAGCGAAATAATAATAATAATGGGAGAGGCAGTTTAGTTAACAAAACTACAATCAGAAAGAATCCTTTCAGTTGAAGTTACGTTCATTTTATATGAAGAAAGTAAAATAAAGTTACAGCAAGATCGCCACTGGCTTCTATTCTGGGTCATGTCTGATAACGTCTCAAGCCACTGTGTTGCACCATCTCTAGGACCCCAACTAGGGAGTTGTGAAGGACCAACGGAAGTCGGTCCTGTACAGCTTTCTTTCATACCACGACTCCATGTCATACACTGACCACTTCTCCGCTTTTTCCAACCAGTTCCAGAGTCGGCAAATAATGCATGACGTGGAATTCTCTGGGACGACATTCATAAGACGCGTCCAAGCCACAGAAGTCGATGTTTTGAGATAGTTAAAAAACCAATCAAATTATCGTTTCTGTGCTCGAATACACGATGCCGAACCTCTGCATTACTAACACGATGTTGCCACCGTATGTCACCAATCCTTCGAAGACAACGATTGCTATGTTTGAAGAGATTACGCGTTCACCTAGTCTGCAAACGGAACAAAGACTGTGACCAAAGACGTATAAATTAGCTATTCTGATGCGTCCCAGCCCCGCTAACTAGAAAGAGAATTCGAAGTTTGGAACGGAGAAGTATAGTCCGCAAGTATCCAGAAATACGACCGATCCCAATCCGCCTCGTCGGAAATACACTTATTTATATATTGGTTTGTACACCCACTTTTGATTAATGATCAGAATAAATGACATAAATGAAAAATAATTCATACAAGAATGTTGTATGTTATACAGAATAAAATGTCATAGGGGAAAACGAAACAAATACTGTACTGAGTGATCATCAAATTGAATTAAACAGAATTAATGTTGGATAAAAATTACAATGAATAAATCAAATTAATTTTGACCTTTCACCCCGTCATAACAACGACGATCAAACACAGAGAGTCGTCTAACATCCTCAACTCAGAGAGGTCAGGTTTCACAAACATAGAGCAAAACTGCTCTCACTGCCTCGTTGTAGGTCAAACCTTTTACAACCAAACTAACGTCATAAGGGCGCCCATGTTGGTGCGGTTTGGCATAAGCTGCTCTGGCTTTCACTATACGTGAGTTGACCTCATCACTCACGCCACCACCAGCACTTATGCGTTTACACAGATACACGAATTAAACTTTAAATTTATTAGAACAACAAAAAATATATAACAAAATAGAAGATAACATATAGAATCAAGGTGATTCTATTGGTCAACATTACTATTTAATGAAACTATCAAATTATTCTAATAACTGTATCTAGTATCCTTATTTAAGCGAAAATTATGAAAAATGAATAGGAAGTATATTTTAGATTGCAATAGGAATTTGTCCTATGACTCTACTTACATGATCGACATTATGGATGATTCGTTTGTTATATAGATTGAAATAGAATAAAACTTAACATCAACCCTCTGCTGGTCAGTATTCCACTTTCGATTTCTGCTAAATACTACTTATATGTGTCCATATAGGAAATACACAACATCCTAGTTGTATCTCAGGTATAATTGCGAAATAATTAACTCCATATGATACAAATATCTCAATATGACTATTTGCTATTTTACCACAAACCAGAGTTAGTTTTTTTTGTTGTTGAAAATATGCTTTAAAAAAGGTTACTTATAACATTATGGTTGATGTTACTCATACTTATCAACCTTAAGTAAAAGAAGTACAAAACTAAATTAAATACCATTAGAAATAATTCTTAAAGGAATTATAATGTTAAACAGAAAATCTTTGAAAATCAATGAGTATCAATTAGTTACTTCTTTCTAATATGATATTAATCAAGCAATGAGTATATTACACTGAATGAAACCTACTTTTCATTATAAATACAATGTCTTTAAATCATAGAATTGGAACTTTGTAGTGGATTGGTTGAAGTTAGACATTAACACCGTCGGATACCGGCTCAGTGGTCTAGTGGTTAAGTGCTCGCGCGCGAAACCGGTAGGTCCTGAGCTCGAATCTCGCGGGGTGCGGGGTCGTGGGTGCGCATTGCTAAGGAGTCCCATACTAGGACGAAACGGCCGTCCAGTGCTCCCAGGTTTTCCATGGTGGTCTAGCTTCAACTGACTCATGATTTCAACCAGCGAAATTTATGTTTTAAATTTTCCGGCTCATTCAATCTGTATAATGTATAATACGAAATATTATGATGTTATAAATTTTTTGATTGAATTAAATATGATTATGAATAAGGACAAAAAGCATAAACTCCATAGTAACTAGGGCAGAAGAAATGAAACGTTTTTCTCTTCTTTTTTTTTATATCCGATTAAAATATTTTAACATATTTTACAATTTCATTTAATTTTAGAAACTCCATACAAACAACCACCTCTAAATGGTTCTTTCATTTCACATGGACATGATAATTCATTAAATGGAATTCATCATTTTAACTCTTTACAAAATTCAGCAATCAATAGTGGATTAGATGGTAATAGTATTGATAATGAATGTGCTGCTTTATTACATAGTTGTAATTCAGTAGCTAGTAGTCAAAGTACACATATGAATATAATCAATAGTAGAATATTTGCTGAAGCTTATGCTGCAGCAGCGAGAGCAGCTGCATCTGTAGTCAGTGGAAGCACTGATATTTATTCACCAAGTTCACAAATGACAAATGATCTAGGTTCACAAAATAATGAAGAACGTAATCGATCACAACATTCACTTCTTTATTCCATGAATCAAGAAATTAATAATGGATTTATAAATGTATCAAAAGAGACCAATATAAATACAGAGAATACTGGTGGTTGGAAGAAATATAATAATAGCAACAGTAGTATAAATTTAAAGAATCGGGACAAGCGTAAAGGTAATTTTTTGACTTTTGCAAAATAGTTTCAAGTTGTGGTCAGTAATTTTTTTAATTACCGTCATGATGATGTTTTGACTATGTATATGGATGGCAGTACTATTTGGCTGGTGAAACTCCAACGGGGTGTAAAGGACGAAGTCGATTTCACTATTACTTACTTACTTACTTGCGCCTGTTACTCCTCATGGAGGACCGTGAGCCGACCACCAGCATTTTCTAGCTGACTCTGTCATGAGCAATCTTTTCCAGTTGCTATTCATTCTTTTCATGTCCGCATCCAATTCTCGGCACATTGTGTTCTTTGGTCTTCCTCTTTTCTTTTCCCGTTCAGGATTCCAAGTTACAGCTTGCCTCGTGATGCAGTTTGGTGATTTTTGCAATGTATATCCTATCCACTTTCAACATCGTTTGCTAATTTCCTCTTCAGTTGGAAGCCAGTTTGTTCTCTCACATAGTAGGCTGTTGCTGATTATATCCGGTCAACGGATGTTGAGAATATTGAGCAGACAATTGTTTATTTATACTTTTACCTTTTTGATGACGGTTGTGGTACTTCTCCACGTTTTAGCTGCATGCAGTACAACTGTCTTGACGTTCGTACTGAAGATTATCATTTTGACGTTGGTTGACAATTATTTTGAGTTCCATATGTTCCTCAGCTATTGGAATGCTGTCCTTGTTTTGCCAATCCTTTCTCTTACATCTGCATCAGATCCTCCTTGTTCATCGACAATGTTTACCAGGTACGTGAAAGTTTCTACATCTTCCACAATTTCTCCATCAAATGTGATTGGGTTGGTGTTCTCTGCGTTACATTTGAGGATCTTGCTTTTTCCCTTGTGTATATTGAGGCCGACTGATGCAGAGACCACTGTTACACTAGTAATCTTCATCTGCATATGTTCGTGTGTATGAGATAGAAGGACTAAATCATCTGCGAAGTCCAAATCTTCTAGTTGATTCTGAGCTGTTCATTATATTCCGTGCGTCTCCTCGGATGTTGAGGTCTTGATAATCCAGTGAACTACTAGAACATATAGAAAGGGCGAGAGTAAGCAGCCTTGTCTGACTCCAGTCCCGAATGCATCTATCAGCTGTCCTCTATTCACCACTTTGCAGTGTAGCCCATCGTATGAATTCCGAATGATATTGACGATTTTCTCAGGTACACCATAGTTTCAAATATGATTCCATAATGTTCTCCTATCCACACTCTTAAATGCTTTCTCGTAACCAAGGAAGTTGATATATAGTGACGATTTTCATACAATTGATTGTTCAGTGATGATCTGTAGTGTCGCGATTCGGTCTATGCACGATCGATCCTTACGGAATCCAGTCTGTTGATCTTGAAGTTGAGCGTCTTCTAGGGCTTTCACCCGGTTCAGCAACACTTTGCTGAAAACCTTTCCTGGTACTGACAGTGGTGTGACACCTCTGTAGTCTTCACATTTGCTCAGATCTCCTTTCTTTGGTATCTTGATAAGGTATCCTACTTTCCAGTCCTCCCAAATCTTTCTAAATAGAACGTGGAGTATCTATGCAGTTACTTCTATGTCTGAATTTAGTGTTTCGACTGGTATGTTGTCAGGTCGTGCTGCTTTTCCGCTCTTGATTCGTCTCATGGCCATCCTGATTTCTTCTACCGTTGGTGAAGTAACATCTGAAGGAAGGTCTGTAAGTGCTGCTTCGATATCCGGTCGATTCGATGAAGCTGGTCTACCCAAGAGTTCCTCAAAGTATTCTGCCCATCTGTTCCCGTGTTCATGAATCTCCATGATTATCTTGCTTTCCTTATCTTTGACCTGTCTCTCCGGTTTACTATATTTCCCTGTCAGTTTCTTCGTCGTTTTATATATTTGTTTCATATTCCCTTCACTTACAGATTTTCCTCTGTCGTTGATAGCTCTTCCACATAATTCTGCTTGTCGGCTCTAATTCTATTCTTCACTTGCTTGTTTGCTTCAGTGAATTCAGCTTGTGTCTTGACCTTTTATGCTTTTTTTCAACTGTTGTTAATTGTTGTCCTCCCGTTTTTCCTTTCTTGGATCCTGTCCAGGGTTTTGATAGAGATCCATTCATTATGATGATACTTCTTAAGGACCAGGACCTACTGACACGTTGAAGTTATTTCTTCTTTGATCCCTTTCCATTTGTCCTTAATAGTAATTTCTTCTTTCAGTAGATCCTGTAGGGCTTGGAACCTGTTGTTGAGAATTATCTTGAGTTCGTTGAGTTTGTCAGTATCTTGAAGGAAGACTGTGTTGAACCTTCGTAATACTGTTTGTCCAGTTGTTCAATGCTTATTTAGCTTCAGTTTCACCTCAGCGACCACCAGGTGGTGATCTTAAGCTATATCAGCTCCTCTCTTGGTTCTCATATCTTCCATTGTCTTTCTGAATTTTTTGCTAATGTTGATCTATCTGGTTCTCCGTGTTGTCATTCGGTGAGATTCATGTACGTTTGTGTATGCGTTTGTGTGGGAATATTGTGCCACCTATAACCAGTTTGTTGAATGCACATAGATTTGCGAATCTCTCCGCCATTTTCGTTCCTTTCTCCCAGTCAGTCCATGTCATCCCATGATATCTTCATAACCGTTGTTGTCCATTCCGACTTTACCGTCCAGATCTCCCATTAGGATTGTCAGGTCGTTTCATGAGCAATTTACTATGATTGATTGCAGCCTCGAGTAGAACTGATCTTTATCGTCGTCATTGCTATCATTGATGAGTGCATAATAATGGATAAAATGCATCGTAATTCCCTCCTTCTTTGTTTTGAAGGATGCTTTGATGATCCTGGGTCCATGAGATTCTCATCCTATTAGTGCATTTCAAGCTTCTTTGGACAGCATCACAGCAACTCCCTGAGTATACGGTGCATTTTTCTCTTCGTGACAGGAGTACAGCAGCATCTCTTCCGTGCCTAACCTTTGCTGTCCAGCTTGGGTCCAATGGATTTCACTGGTTCCGAGAACCACCAAGTTATATCTCTTCACTCCTCAGCTATTTGACTGGTTCTGCCTGTTTCAACATTGTCCGGACGTTCCATGTACCTTCAAAGATTGTTGCTCTGGTTGTTAGAAGAGGCATCGGCCTCGTGACTTCCAAGGAGTCTTGGCTTTCACCATGAGGCGTCATAATCCCGATTTCACTATGATTCACTAAAAAATATACTCAAGGTTTGATCATGGACGGTAACAAGACATTTATCATCTTACATATAATTACTATATTTGGTAGACTTCAGTCTTGACATAATTTTCTCACTCTATGATATTGAATTTTAAGGAAATAATTACATAAATATGTCTCTAAATATCAGTTCCAGTGTAGTTTCACAAAAAACTGATGTTAATTACGGAATTATCGGTACAGTCACAACGTGAACTGCAAATTCAATGATAATATCCGTATACTAGTTCGTTGGATTCAGTAACACCACAAACATAGGTCATTGATTACGGTCTATCCTTTATATTACATATGATACCATGTACTGGCACAATTAACTAATAACATAAATCTACTTCATATTACAATAGATTTGTTTATTGATCAGCTTCATAGACCCCGTTTCTTTCTGTGACTATAACTTATTACAATTCACTTCTATGTATTATGTATACACATCTTTCCGTTTGTCCTAGCTACTTTATTGTCACTTAAGTATCAAGACCTTTTAATACTACAGATTTGTTGCACTATAATGACTACATATTTATGACAATGAATAAACTAATCGTTATTTATTTCATTAACCAAATTACATATTGAATTTTCAGATTACAGCTTTATTATAATAAACACAACTAACAATTTCAATTAATCTTTCTGATATTCAATTATGTATTTTAAGAATACATATGTTAAAGGATTCTTATTGTTTACATTCATTAATGGATCTTCAAATGATAACTGTTGATTAATCTGAAATAATCGACTCATCATATTCAATAGATGAGTTTCTAAAGTGGATAAATATTACATGATAATTAAATCAGTTAATGGATTATTAGCTTTAATGAATTAATGGTTTTGTATTAAGAAAATGTAACTGTATTATAAATACTTTTTTCAAGTTACAAAGGATACACTTTCTAACGACTATAAATTTAAACCATATACATTAGGCTGTATTTCAAACTTTAATATCAAAAGAAGATGATAATATGTATGTTCCCATCGTGAATACATTCACAGTTCCATAAAATTATTCGATCTAAGATTTATCTGAAATAACTCTTTTCTAATAACGTGTCAACCACCAGCATTATTGAAAAATGATAATTATCACTTTATAAAACTAACATCATTCAATAATTTAGGGACATTATTAAGATCACGAATTAAGCCAAGTTAGATTGTTATTAAAAAACAGGAAGCACTGGACGGCTGCACGTCCACCAATATAACTAGCATTGAACCTAAGACCTTCAGATTTCAGAGCAAATGTTCCCCATTAAGATCATTAGGCCAAGATCCAGTGGTTCACAAGTCTAAATCAAATCAATTTACAATATTGTTTGATTATCTTTCATTATCTTTGGAGTCTAACTGGCACACACACGATACCGTCGAACTCCGCTAGTCTCGGGTTCTTTCTGAGACTGTAGGAATCGCCTCTATGTAAATAATTTGGTTTTATGCTGTCTAATTGTTAGGCACGTTTACAAGGACAATGTGATACAAATTTTTAACATTCGAGAACTAAAGATAATAAGTAGGAAGTTCTAGGATAAAGTTTTAAACATTCCCTTTGTATTCATTGACACGAAATACCGTGCTCCATTAGATAATCACAGTACCCTACAGATGCTATTCAGATTGTAACTGATAATGTGTAGTTAAGTTTGCTCATCAGTAAATCAGTGACTGGCCAATCCACTGGTTCACAATTTGTGTCAGATAACATCTAGAAACTAAATAAATTTAACTTTAACTCCATTCTTTGTTGCTGCAAATAGCCTTGATAGAAATATCGAAGATGCTATCATTTACAACTCATTTTAAAGTCTAGCATCAGGTTTGTTGTTTGATCATTCTGCCACCTGATATTATTAGTTTTGACATATTTTGAAGAGAACTGATTAAGTAGTACTTTACTAGGAAGACAAAAGTTTAAGCTGAAAAGGATCAATCTTTACTGAGAGGCTTCTGATAGAAAACTGATTTTTCAAGATTATTTCCATACAATTTTGGCTGAATTTACAACAACAACAAAAACTAGATCATCAACCTATACCACATAAAATGTAGTAAACATATTTGTTCATTCACCCCCTCCCTCCTCTCAATGTTCTGATATATTTCTTAACAAAAGATGTTGAAATTGACACAAATACAACGGTCCTAATATTAATTCAACGTATTTGTTGATTTGAATAGCTGATCAAATTTGTTAGAAGCTACAGTGGTTCTTCTTCATTATTCTTCATCACATCCGAAATATCATTGTGACTAAGAATGAAATGTAACGGATAATAATACGCTCATAGTTAACAGTTTCTTGGGATTTACTATGTTGATTGAATTATTTATTTATTTTAACACATAAATGTTGGTACAAGGAGGCACCAAATACATATGCGCCACACAGATCTCATTTGATTTGTGCGAGGGCTGTGATACTGCCCGGGAGCCCAAACCGAAGCAGGTGATTTTCTTAGGGGACCACACCCGGAGCCATCGACCTGAAGGCTGAGCAACGTAAGGAGATGCATTCCCATGGTAGCCGGTGACAAACAATTGGTTCATACGCCATTTGTTCCTTCAGGATACTAGAGCTCATGTGTACCATTGGTTTGGAATCAGGGTTTTCCAACTCCCCTAGGTGGACTCTCCATGTCCACCAACCCGGTTAAAGCGCCGGACATTCGCTTTTCGTTTTATCAAATGCCTTGGTAGGGTCAAGGGTGGGAAGAATCCGCTCTCCCTCTCGAAATACTCTAACATGGTCACGCGTATACAGCCATTGTCAAGGAACTTCTACTCACTGCCTTTTCGCAGCGGGGGATTTTGTTTACGAAAGTGAGAGGGTGAAAAACGAATGTCAGGCTCTTTGACTGGGCTGGTAGACACGGAGAGTCCACCTAGGGGAGTTGGAAAACCCTGATTCCAAACCAATGGTGCACATGGGCTTCAGTATCCCGAAGGAACAAATGGCGTATGAACCAATTGTTTGTCACCGGCTACCATGAGACTGTATCTCCTGACGTTGCTCAACTGCCTTGTGGACCAGACCTTTAGGTCAAAAGCTTCTGGTGTAAACCTATAGTAAAATCAACTACTTCGGTCTGGGCACTCAGTCAGTATCACAGTTCACACACAAATCAAGTGACTTGTGTGGCGCATATTTATTCAGTGCCCCTTTGTGCCAACATTTATGTGTTCAAATAAATAAACTAGATATACTGGTGATAATATGGTTAGTCGGTTTAATTAACAGTCAAGAAGACATAAATAGAAAAACTCTGGGATTTCATATTTTAATTAACGACTCATTATTGTTAGGAACTTGGTGCACTTATTCAGTCTAACATTTATCACATAATTTTATAGATCAGTTATCAATCATAACTAAATATCAAGGACGAACATGTAGCGCTGATTTTAAAGATCTTTTGATGTCATACTTAATCAGATCGATCGATTAACAGTGAATTCAAAATCCAATTACTACAGACAAACAAGATATTTTTCGATACATATCCAAGCAATGCTATCTTCTAACAGATTTTTCTTGAACTATTTGTGTCAAACTGATATCAATACTAATGAAGCTAAATTATTCTAATATTTTTCTTATCTAATTACTCTTTTATTTCTCCCAACTAAAATATAGCCAATGACATCAATAAATATAAACATTCTTTACAAGGAATTAGAAAACATTCAAGAATTAGTTTATCTGGTCAACTGGAACCCCGTGGATCTCATTTGTCTATACAATTGCCTTCAAAACATTCATTGAACTATTCGCAATGGAGTAATGCTTCTGGTGCTTCTTATTCTAGTTTAGTAAGTCCAAGTCAAACAGATCTACAAGTTGCAGCTCAAGTAGCCGCAGCTGCGGCTGTTGTATCGGTTGTAGAAAATATGAATTTAAGTTTAGCTATGAATCATGCATCATCACTTAATAATGTGGGTGGTTATTGTCTTATGCCTAGACCATCATCAAGAGCTGCATCGGTAACCGGTCCTACTACCAGAAATATCAATAAACTATGGATGGAAAATGAAGATGGAGAGAGTATGAAATTTGGTATGTTTACTCCACGAAATGCTTCAACTGGACAGGTGAGTGTTATTTTGAAATCCTTACGAGTTAAAAGAATATATTTTAAAACAAAATTAACATTTCAATAAATGCTCAATATGGTGAAGAAATTCTCTAATAGTCAATAAAATAAGTTTGACTTTTCTATGGAATTCATTAGGTAACATCTTTCATAGTTTAAAGAAATATTAACCGGCTCAAAACTAAATGAACAGACCAAAAGGTGAATATAACTTACCATTTAAAAGAATAATAGTTGGTAATTTAAATTTACAATGAGAATATTCAAAGTAATGTTTGATACATCAATAATGTTTTTGGTTGAGAAAATGAACCGATTGTTGTTAGACCACCATTAAAACCTGGAAGTACTGGACGGCCGTTTATTCCTATTCTGGGACTCCTCAATAATGGTAGGATTTTAACAAATAAGAATAAAAACACTCTACTAAAGTATACTGTATATGAAGGATAAAACGTTCAGAGATAAACATTTATGATTGTATTGTAAAGTCAAATATATATGAATATGTGGGAAAACATGTGAATTATTGAGACCATGATTAAGAAACATAAATTCATTGTGACCTTAACTTTAAAGCATGAATTACGACACAGATTCATTAATTTTATTGTCAAACTTAAACATTACTCATAAATTTATTCTCGTATAGTTATAATTCCAATTGTAAGCCAACGTTCATTTTGTCTCATTACAACAGAATCCGGGAATCGAATTACGTACACATGGTTATTGGTCACAATGCTACCATACAATATATATACGCAATGTATTTAAAAGCATAAAACTTAACCTTAACTCTATAAAAATAGAGTATTCGTTTCCAATTTATGAAAACTGAAGTACTATCCGAATCTTCTTATGTCTTCTGAAGCTCTTCAAAACGTCTGAGTATTCGTTAAAACCCAATAGATTGTTCACTTTAATTTCAAAAGATGATTAGAACCGATATAATTATTTTACTATATTTACAAACGTTTGGAAATGTTAAATGATAAATTCGCTCGGCTTAAAATTCTAAAATAAAACGTCCCGTAACACCAAAAAAGGAAATGTTTATCATGTATGGTCAGTAACAGTTTTACAAACAATGAATACTAGAATATAGTTAAATAACCAATCATTTAACAATAATAATTTCTCATTTTAATTACATCATGTACAGCTGTAGAAAAGTTGAAGCCAACAGATTATAATGAGAGAAAAATGCTCCGGGAACCATATTTTATACAAAACTTTAAAAAGAAACACGCTAAACAAAGAGACTCAGAAAAAATATGGAAAAAGGAATTGAAATCAAGATGACGAACTACTTATTAGAAATTTTTAAAGGGTAATTCTGATATCCTTTATTAACTTGACGTTAGATATCACTCTGTGATCAATAAAGGTAAATATTTCAGTCCTATAGGAAAGCAGTCGTGGATCTAATAGCATATTGGTGCAAAATTGGTCAATAGAATTAGACCACTATAAAAAAGTAAACAAACAGGACATTGGTCACTAAGGAGTTGATCAATTAATATTTCTCAAACTCTGAATAACAAGTTTATTTGTTTAGCTTTGCCAGTATGAACTTTTGTCACAGGAAGAAAGTTATGAGTAAAGCAGATGACTGATATTAGATAAGATAACAACTTTATCACCAATCATTCTGAAAAGATTTACTACTAACCTTACTAAAAGTATAAAACATTATAGACCCACCAGTACGTCAGTATTTTCATGAAAGAATAAACAGAAATAACAAATATGAATAAGTGATATCAGTAATGAAAAATGACTATTTTAGAATAAAAAGATTGAGTAATACAAACTCATAGTCTTTTTATGTAAGTCAGTCAGGTATAAATGTTGTCTGGTGTAAAGTAGGCTAGAAGAAATCTAAAGGTTGCCAAACTAAGATGTAATATTTGTTTATGAAGTCACTGAGTGTTGCAAAGAAACATATTGGTACATGGAGACCATCAAGTTCTGAGCCGCTCGATTATTGTAACCAATGGTTGGAGAGGGTTGAGTGATATGCCTCAGGATTGGTTTCAGTGGAGCTGATGTGTTTGGTTTTTATCCACCCTTAGGTCTGGATTTAAAAATTGTCTTATTCCTTTTTTAATTCAACAAATTCATTCTTTTGTCGTAATTCACATTGTCTTAACCTAGTCTTTTTCTACTACTACTGATATCGTTACCGATTCTAATACTACGGAATTTATCTTGATAATCTCATCACTCAATGCTAATATCATTTGACAATCTGAACCAAGCATATCTCAGGTTCTGGGTCGAGCATGACTGAATCACTGACTAGTATATATATATATATATATATATATATATATATATATATATATATATATATATATATATATATATATATATATATATATATATATATATGATTTATTTTTACAATACATGTAAATTGACAATAATAACTTTATATTAGGCCACACCAACTGCCAGTGTTGATACTGTTGATCCAAATTTACAAATATCAACTCCAAGCCCGATATCACAACAACAACAATATTCTAATGATGTTAATAATAATAATAATAGAAATCAGTTGAGCTTAAATAATCAACAAATAAATGGGAGTTCCATTTCTCAATATAATGTTGTTCCCCAAACAAAACTAGATGATAGGTATCATCAAAATTATAATCTAAATCGATCAGCTGATTCACAAAATATTTCGAATCTATATGCATATCAACAACAACAACAAATGTATCCTATTCATGGATCACGTGTACCATATTCAACATTCATCAGTCCAACATCCCAAACAAATATTTCATCACCATCTAATCTTAATGGTAATGAACAAAATCCCTCTTTAATGGCTTATTATCGTATACTAGCACAAAACCAGATGCTTAACAGGCATAAATTACAACAATTTCATCAACATCAACTGATTCAACAGCAACAACATCAACGACAACACCAGCAACAACAACATAGTAAAAATGATCAATTGAAACAAACATTGAACATGAACAAGTTGCATCAACAAATTAGTGGGTCTAAAAATTTTATATCCGATCAAAAAGATCAAAAAAATAATTTAGAAAGTTGTACCCAACCCGATCAACAGATTGAACCAAAAAAAGATTTAAAATCTAACCAGATCGATAAAATAATCAATGAATGTATTGATAATCAACTTGATACAACTAATAGTAATAAATTCCAAGATCAAAATATACAAAAAAATGTCAACAAACATGAAGAAAATTCATCTATAAATCAAAAAGATGAACATGGTAGATCATTAATAAAGAATTCAGATTTAAATGTAAGTGAAAAGGGAAAAAAAATTTTATTAAATCATTAAAAAATTTAAGATTCATGATCAGAATAAATATGGGTCAGATAGGGTGAGAGAAATAAAAGTACAATTACAATTCGACCAAATGTTTAATGGAAGACCGTATTGTGTAAAAAATTATTAGTAAAGCACAATAAGGTGGAATGAATACGAAGTAAATGAATCATGTATTGGGGACATCAATAATAATAATAATAATAATAATAATAATAATAATAATGATACAAAGACGTGTGAATAAAGTACGTTTGACTACGAAAGGTCGTAAGTACAAAAGTCAAATTAGGTCACTCAATAGCTAAGAGTACTATTGATTGATTGGCCTTGAGGTTGGCCAGGGGAGGAGAAACGATTGAATATATTTCTTTTGTATGCATAGCTCAGGTTTCTTCATCCCGATGGCTACTGCTTCGGCCGTTTGAAGGACTTTAAGCCATGACCAGAGAACTACAGTAGTGTCAAGTGTGAAACAGTTATCCATCTCATGCAATGGAAGATGTTCATACGACATCGTGCATTGAGTATGAATCATTGGTTCCCGGTTCAGTGGTCTATAAGTCAAGTGTTCCTGTGAGAAACCGGAAGTTCTGGATCCAATACCATGTGGTGAGGCCATTAATGTGCACTCCTAAAGAGTTCCATACTCGGACAAAACAGCTTTTCAGTGGTTTCTGGTTTTCAATAGACATCTACCTAAGATCGGTTCATGATTTCAACTAATAAATAATAGTTTTTTTCCAATTACTAACGTCCTAAATGCTCTTTTATAATATTGCACACCACATACATAATTCTTCCTTATTTCTGTTTGTAAATCACCTGGTTTTTTATATATACAGCCAAATGATTAATTAATCAATTGTTTTATTCATTTTAGGAAACAATAAACTTAGACAATGCACAAAATAACATAACAAAACAAGTATTAACTACAGAAATAAATACATGTCATTATAAAACGACTGATCAAACTTCTTCAAATGAAACACCATCTTTGTTATTAAATGATAGACAAATGATTAATCCTACTGATATTAATAATGAAAATAAACCAAATAACAATAACTTTAACCAACCTCTTACTGTAACCATCAATTCAGATTCATATTATAATTCAGTCGAAAACCATAATATATATTTTAAGTATAATGAACATCAATCTCCTCTATTAAATAATACAGAATATAATGTGCATAACAATAATAATAACTGTCACATAAATTCATCACAGAAATCTCCATCTTCTATCTGTTCCCAAAATACACCACAATCACCAACTTCACCACCTTTACAATCAACACAACAATCTAAACAACAACCTCGTCTAGGTATTCATTCACCAGTAAGAACAAATCGTTATTTAAATACTACAGAACAAAGTGCATTCAAACAATTTAATGTTAATCAAGAAAAATTAAATCTTTCAAATGAAACAAATATTCATTCAAATTCTATTGCATGATAATTAAAACAAAAATAAATGACTAAAAATTCAATATAAATAAATTATATTATGTACAGTAATAGAAATTTAATAAATGTGAATTGGCAACCTTCCTACAGAATATATATATATATGAATGGATATTACTACACGAATAAAGACAAAGGATACTAGGGAATACTGAACAACCTTTTTGCTAGGCATGAAAATAGTGAATTTATTTCCATAAAATTATATATATATATATATATATATATATATATATATATATATATATATATATATATATATATATATATATAATATAATATATATATATATATATATATATATATATATATATATATATATACTTCTCTCATCTGGATAACTCTCTTATTAAATACTCTTCCTTTCACATAACAACTAATCATTGTATATCAAACTTACATTGTTCATCTTCTTTTAAATTGTGTATTTTTCTTTTTGAGTTGAACAATTTAATTTAAGGTGTAAACTAAAGTATTCATTATTATTTATTGTTTTTGATAATATCTCATATGGTGAAATAATAGCTGTTCATAATCAGATAGTGTTTCCTATACATTGTTCGTCTATTGGTACCATGTTGAACATACAACTTATCCGCAGAATTACCAAAAAGAACATGGCAAACGACTATTACTTGCATAAATGATAGATTGGGAATACCATATATCACTGGCTTATAGAAAATACTGTATGGTTATTGATTAATAACAGATTTCATGTTTGTGTATTTTTTATGGTTGATTAAACTTCATTGAATAAGTTGCAGCATGCTCACTGGTATACGTGATTTATCAATATGTCGATTTTAGGCGACTGGAGACAATTGAATTTTATTGAGATCATGAACCGACTGATGTTAGACTACCATGGAAAACCTGGAAGCACTGGATGGACACTTCGTCCTATTGTGGGACTCCTCAGCAGTGCGCATCCACGATACCGCTCGCGGGACTCGAACCCGGGGCCTTCAGTCTCACGCGCGAACGCCTAACCTAGTGGACCACTGAGCCGGTATCCAGTCGTGTTGATGTCTAACCTCAACCAATCTAAGTAGTCCCACAATAGGACGAAACGGCCATCCAGTGCTTCCACGTTTTCAATGGTGGTCTAACATCAATCGGTTCATGATCTCAAACAAAAACTTAACAATCTCCATAACCCCTAAACTGATAATTGAATTTTAGTTTGATTTAGGTTTTATCCAAGCTGGAGCTTGTCAGAGAGGTATGTCAGAAAATGTTAAGAGCACTGAACCCACTCACTAAGCAGATGTTCGCATTAACTGATAAGAATTCTAGTGATATGAAGAGCCAATCGGAAGTAGCAAAACGTCAATCGATGACAACCAGAAGCGACCCAAAATTCAAGTGTATTTCATTGGGGTCATTTTCCTAAGGATATATATGAATATTTGGGCATTTAACTCAGTAGTCCAATACACCTTCTCGCTCAAGTAGTTCGTTGGGGGTAGCTATATAGCATACCATGTATCAGTACCAGATTTCGGAAACCGTAGGTCACAACACCTAGCCTCACGAGGATTGTTGACGCCTTTAGTATTGAGGATAAGCATCAATGGTAATTACCGACAGCACGAGATCAAGACCTACGGATTCCTCCTGATCGATTTCAATCACTTAACGGAGAACTTTGATATTCAGTAAGTCAGTCCAAATACCATACCATAAACGTTTTTGGTAGAGTTCAGATTTTACAATCTGTTTGCACAATTTTCGGTAAATTGTAATAAGAAAGTTTAAGTAGATATATTTCATAATGAAAATTATTTATTTTGATAATAACAACAGTAATTAGTTTGCCAATTATTCAATTCCATTTTCTGTTTATACACTGCCTTGATACCCAACATTACTACATATTTATTATAGGGAGTGAAATATTAAATTCTCCCAAGTTTTCAGTTTACCTAGTTAGAAAACATTAAAACGTAGTAAAGTATTATTCCACACACTCATTTCATCTGATCAAATTGAACCACGCAAAGAAAACATGAACGTAAGTGTGTCTAATTAGTCGTATATTTTTTGTATAATCAGTGAATTAGCATTTTTTAAAAATGATAGAAGTAATTCACAGAAGAAAAACCGATTTACACTACATTTAAAATAAAAGGTTCTTACTAATTGTTTTACTAGACATAATCTATTTACCATTCAATCAAATCACAGCATATCAGATAAGCAAATATATATTGCATATCAGTTAATTAAGTATAGTAATGCACTATTTCAAATTGTTAACACTATTGTAATGCATTGATAAGATCATAACTTTCTAAAAGAGACTAGAAGGATAGGTATGGAAAATGTGCACTATATGATAAAGTATCTATGATTTAAAGGAAAAGTAGTAGGAAAATATAATGAAATCGTTGACAGGTTTACATCTACCCTGAATGGAAATTGTTGGTGTAAACTAAAGTATAAGCATGAAAACCTGAAAGTGACAAGAAATGACCCGAAATTTTGACAAACCAGAAACTCCATTGAAGTAAAATGATAAAGCTAGAGCTTTATTGAGATCATGAATCGGTCAATGTTAGATCACCATAAAAAAACCTGAAGTCATTGGACGGCCATTTCGTCTCAGTATGGGACTCCTCAGCGATAAGTATCTACAGTCCCGTACGCAAGAATCAAACCCAGGACCTACGGTCTCATGCACAAACGCTTAAGCTCCAAACCACCAAGCCGGCATACAACGATTGTATAATATCCAAATTCAACTAATCCACGACAATGCGTGACCACCTTCCATTGTCTTCTGTAACTGTCTCACAGCTGACACGGATTAGCTCCACCGGTCAAGGCTTCTCGCTAGTTCAGTTCATGATTTCGATGACTTTCACAAGCACTACAATCCCGAAACGAAAACAAGAGCTCACTAAATTCAACATATTCCTCCAAATTTTATTCGAAATTCCATTTAAAAATTGCGGTTTTCGACTTTGATGAGTGATTTTATTATTTTTTTTACTTTGACTGAACGTTCTAATCATGACTCTTCTAATACTTTTCCAGAAAAAAACAATAAAGAGCGCAAACCTTGAATGCACTATGAAAAATCCCTGTCATATTGTTGTCACCAGTAAATGTGTTACCACTGGTCATAACCTTGTTTCTTTTTTGACGTGATATCCAATCCTAGAATTGTCTATTAAATACAAACTAACCTTAATACCAACCTTCTAATGGTTCTCTGGCATCCATTGAATTTTCTCTATGCAAGTATCTGTCATATCCCACCACAATTTATTTTTGAAGCTATCCATGTCAGTCATAATATCTAACTGTTATTTCCTGTTTATACAGATGAAGGAGAAACTAGTTATCACCGTTCCAAATATGTAGCGCTTTTTGTATTGTTCCAGCATATTTGAGTTTTTCTGTTTATTGCTACGCCGTTTGATTAGTGATTTACTTCGATTTCAAATGATTCCAGTAGTTTACTTTTCACCAGTGACATGTTTTTCATGTAAAATAAGATGATCTGTTCTGCTTTTTCGGACATCGATTTAGAGTTACACTCTTAAATAATAACTCCACAATACTACTAACTGTGAATTATTTAATTTTGTGCCATTCTCCTTCATCTAAACGGTTCTGTTATAGACGTTTTTTAGTTTGTAAGAATTTTTCGTTCTCTGAAGAGATAACTTCGACTGAGTCACGAAATGTCAGAAAATTTAATTTTCCTACTCAATGGGACTTTAGAATTATATTACTTTTGGCTTTTAGTTTGTTACTGACATGTACATTTTCCTTTTAGCATTTTTCACTATCGCCATACTACATCGTTGATAAAATGATAGATAGCTTGAAATAACTTTGAACGGCGACTCAGCTATACAAGAAACTTCCTAGGGATATCCATGGCTCAATAGAATGTTGAGAAAGTAAATTATTAATATGTCTTTCTGTAGATAGTATTAAATATAATCTAATCCTAACCAAATAGAAATTACTTAAAAATGAGTATTTCTTAGCCTTACTGAAATAAAATGCAAAAATACATTTTTAACTAATTAAGCTGATGTTTATCAATACGTAATTTGAATACAAGTATGATCACAATGGGCAAATAAACATTTGGTGAATACCCAGTTGAATAATTATCTAATGATTTGATTTACGACGGTAAAATATAAACCTGAATAAAACAACAGGAGGTTTATGATAAAATATCCAATAGTTGTTTGAACATCAACCGGTCAATTGGTTAAGATGCTATAAACCTATCTATCAAGTAATTTTCTTGTAAACTGATTATTTGGAAAATCTGAGAATAAAAGAAAATCTAGGCTCTAGTTCGTTAGCCCATACAGAGTCGTGTAAACAGGAAATACGATGCATTACAGATAGGTATGGATACAATTCAAGTAATATTGGGATTTGACCCTTGAATAACGGAGGAACCTTCTAGTTTCTTGAATCGAACGAAGAGGTAAATACATGTCTACTCAGACACAGTTTACTTGACATGCCTGTCAAGAAATTGTCATAAATGGAAATTTAAACCCGAAATAAAATAGTTCTAGACAGTTAAGTGCTGTCTGAAGTGGGGTAAAAAAACAATATATTATACTAGATTTTCTGTATTTGTAAGCGCTTGGATATCCAAAAATCTAGCCTATCACTTATTATTAATTAATAAAGCAAGCACGAGTGGAATGATATGAGATAAACAAAAACTAGTCCGAAGCAATGAATGACTACGTGATCAAATAGGTCATGGCTCATATTTCATGGTTTACCAGGAAAAACAAATTTAAGTAGTTCAAACAACTAAACAGTAATGTTTCCGAGTTTCAAATCTACAAGATATGCCTTTGCTTTCATTACTAGCACTGAATTCATGAATACGCAGTCAAAATAAAATGATAAAAAATAATCATTTTTAGTCATTAAGAGTAGTTCACTTTAATTCCACTTGAGGCTTGATATAATGTAACCTCACTAATTTGAATA